TCAAGACTTAGGTTCATGTACATTTTGGAGTCCAATAGTTGAAGCTCACAAAACTCAAGTGCAAAGATAAAATGTTTAGTAATTTCAACATAGTAGTAGAAAATCATTAGACCAAGTTCAGTGACCTTCTTCTGAGTGGGAGAATCTTCTCACCAATCCCTGAAGCCAGGTCAGATATATGGAATATATCACCAGGTCATAGCTACATAATATCTAATATCCAATATATATTATATACATAATTCACCCCCCACACACACACAAACACACATATGGAAAAAGCTCTTAATCTTAAAAGTACAGCCTAGAAGGCTGGGAATGTGGCTCAGTGGTAGAGTGACTGTCTTGCATGTATGAAGCCCTGGGTTCGTTTCCTTAGTACCATGTACACAGAAAAAGCCAGAAGTGGCACTGTAACTCAAGTGGTACAGTGCTAGCCTTGAGCAAAAAGAAGCTTAGGGACAGTGTCCAGCCCCAGAGCTCAAGCTCCAGAACTAATAACAACAAAAAAAAAGGTACAGCCTAGAAAAGAAGAATCTTATTTATATATTTAAATTATAACTATTTTATTAGAAGTAGACTTTAAGCTAGTTTGAGAATCAATAGGAATAATAAGTGAACTGGTTTTGAGAAGTTTTTATCAGATGGGCTTCAAAGATCTGTTTGTGTGTACTCTGGGCTTTATGTTCTGCAGGTGCTTAACCTTGTTGTTACTTCAATTACCCAGCTAGACCCCGTGGTGCTATTAACTGGATGGAGAAGCTTACAACTTACTGTGTCTACTCCTTTTTCTTTGAATATTTAGCATTTAGAATAACATACAAATAAATCTGGGGACAAGAAGAAAGCTGTAAGAGACATGTGTTGATTTCCTCTTTGGGAAAACCAGTATATATATATATATATATATATATATAATATAAATATATATATTTATAAATATATATGCTTATATATATATTTATATTTTTATCTGCCAGTTTTGGAGGAATAGTCTTGTTTAAAGCCTGTTAATAATGACCTTCTCTGTGCTGAGAATGCAGTCAGTTGCGTCCAGCCACTGTGGACAGGGCGGAGCTCAAAAGCTCCTTAAGTGGACCCACTAAGCAAGCTATCTAAAGAAAAAAAAATGATACTAGTGTGTCTGTCTATTATTCTAAGAAATCAGTAGACAAAATTAGGTTGATGACAGGAGACACTAGGACCTCAGGCTGGGTGGTAAAGTTCTTGCCTAGAAGGTAGGAGGCCCTGAATTCAAATTCTAGTACCAAAAAAAAAAGACAATGGTTTATGGCCTCTACTAAATGTCTAATTCTTAAGAATAGTTGAGCTAAGTTAGAGCTAGTGGTAAGTGGATGGTGTAGACAGTAACAAGTAAAATGGTTATATATGGATGTACTGAAAAGCAGATCTTAGCAGCATGTCAGAGACTCATGCCTATATTCTGCTCAGGCTGAGATCTGAGGATTGCAGTTCAAAGCCAGCCCAGGCAGGAAAGTCTATGAGATTCTTATTTCCAATTAACACCAGTGGAAATGGAGCTGTAGTCCAAGTAGTAGAGTGATAGCCTTGAGCAAACATGCTCAAGGTCTGGCCCTGTGTTCAAACCCAGAACACACACACACACACACACACACACACACACACACACACAGAGAGAGAGAGAGAGAGAGAGGAGAGAGAGACTGAATAGTTAATTACCGTGGCTTTTTTTTTGTCAGTTGTGGGGCCTGAACTCAGGGCCTGGGCACTGTCCCTCAGCTCTTCAGCTCAAGGCTAGCCACTACCACTTGAGCCACAGCACCCCTTTCAGCTTTTTCTGCTTAGGTGGTACAGAGGAATGGAACCCAGGGCCTTATGCATGCAAGGCAAGCACTCCACCACTGAGCCACCTTCCCAGCCCAATTACCTTGGTTTTTAACAACGAAAGTAAAACATTTAGTCCATGGACAAAGATAGTGTTATGACTTTACATTCAAGGATATACAATTTTTCTTATTAGCTTAAGAAATATGCACATAAATTTCTGATCTAGAATTTGTACTGAAGTGTTAAATATGTTAATGTTATGTTATTATATTATAATTAACACATTCAGTCTATTAATGCATTATCCGAATAACTGAATAAGAGGCAATACCTTCATTTATTTAAAGTTTTGTTTCCTGATATGTTTAGGTTGACTCTTAACTAGATTTAACATAAATAGTATTAGTAGCCATGTTTTATTGAACGTCTCCATCAGAGGCATTTTGTGAACGTTATATTATGTGCTTCTTCATTATTAATGAAAGAAGGAGAGATGCTGTTAGCAGATGAAGGACTTGGATTCATAGGAGTTACATGTCTTAGAATCTACTAGGACCATATACTAGGTGGTGGTGAGTCCAGGCCTATGAAGCCCATTCTCTTTGCTTTACGTGGATTCATACTCTCTCCTTACATCAGTTTTACATGTGGTTCACTTCAGTTTATTGGGGCAAAATGGTGGACAAGAACTATCCCATAATCATGTTATATATTAAGATATATATTATTATCTCATAATCATATATATATACACAAACACATATACTCCTAGATACATTCAATGCTGTGGATTGAACCCAGGGCATTCTGCTTGCTAAGCAGGTACTCTACCACTTGAGGCATGTCCTCTTTTTCCACTAGCTTTTTTCAAAGCAGGGTCTTACTTTTTACCCAGGCATCATGGATTGTGATCCTCTTAGGCTTCTCTGTATCACTGGGGATGACAGGCATGCTCCCACTGCACCCTGCCATTGGTTGAGACAGTTTTCTGAAGTTCTTTTTGCCTGGGCTCACCTTGAACCAAGATGTCTGCCTCCTAACTGCCTAGGATTACAGGCTTGAACCCTTGTTCCTAGTTTACAAATATGTTTTATGTTCTTTAAAGAAACTAAAGTTAGAAATCATACTCACCTGGGTGTGGCTTATGTGAGGACAATGCAGACCCGCTAGAAGATGTGTACTTCAAAGTAGAGACTTGACTTTCCTGCAAACATTGACAATAAATATACAGTTGTTCCTCAGTATCCAGGAGGACTGGTTCCTAGGGACCTCCCTCCATGGACACCCCAATTCATAATTCTCTCATATAAAATGGCAAAATGTTTGCATACAATCTATACCTATGTACTTAAAAGTTAGAGTATACATAATACCTGAATTCAATGTAAAATCCATGCATAGTCATTGTAACACTGAATTATCTAAAGAATAATGCCATGAAAAAATCAATTTTCAGCCCAAATGAACAATTCTGATTATTTTATATCCAAAGTTGGCTGATTCTCTGCATGCAAAAGCCATTGGTTAAAGAGGCTGACCATAAAATACATGTTAACAGACTATATTTGATTTTTCTTGATGTTTTTCCTTCCAACTAATGGATAAATTGGTTCAATCTCATTAAAGATGACTGTTTCCACTGTATGCTGTTGATAATTTACATACATTAGAACTGTTCACACTGACAACACACACTTGTATTTTTGGAGCTATGTTCTAAATCTGTATGCAGAAAGCATGCAGGAGTCTGAGATTTCATTTCTAATATGTTTTGTAAAGAGTGAACTGTGTCTTACATTATTCTTTGAAATGATTGTCAGTGACCAAAATATACAAGCACAGAGATCAATATGCACTTTCACAAGCTGTGACTAAAGAAGTCACTGAAACTTTTGCATCCCACATAATTCTAAGAAATGTTGATTTAGGAGATCTAATTTCTTCTGTGTCAGAGAAATACTTCCTCATTCACAGAAGTCAAGATATGGAATTAACCTAATGGACTGATAAAGAAAATGTGATTATATATATATATATAAAATCAAAGACTGTTCAGCTGTAAACTAAAAGGAAGTCCTATCATTTGTGACTCATGGATGAGCTTTGGAGACATTATGCTAAGAGAAATAAGCCAAGCATAGAGAAAGCAACTTCATGCTCACATGTACTTATGGATCTAAAAAGTTACACTCAGAAGTAGAGAGTAGAATGGTGTTCCATAGAAACCACCATTGAGTGTAGAGAGAGACTTTTGGGTTAGGAGAGATACTGGTAAAAGGATATAAAATTTCAACTGGATAGGATGTGTATTACAACCTGCCAACAATAAATAACAATGCACTGAATACTTGAAAATTCAGAGATTTTAAGTATTCTTACTATAAAATATATGCTGAGATAATGCATTTTAGTTTGCTAGTCATTCCAAAATGCATACAGAATTCAAAACATCAATGCTGAACAACATAAAAACAAATCTTATTTGTCCGTTACATTTTAAAAATGAAGACTAGAAGAAAAATGCTTCTTTCATTTATAATTGTAGAATAGAGGGTGCTGTGGAAATGTCCATCAGCCCTTAGGGTGCATGTCAGAGGGGTTACAGGAGAATATTAAAGGTGTCTGTGATCTGTGTTATACATTGCAGAGAATATTCAGTCTGGGATATTACACACAAGGATTGTAGATAACAAAATCCTACCTCTGATTTTTCTGGTGAAGTAACTAGGTAAAATTATAACCTTTTACTCCACCCCCTTCTGCCTTTATCTCCAGGAATCAAGAGTGTGTTTTTTTGAGCATGTGCATGGTATTCTTTCCCTTCCCAACCTTTCTTCCACATCTCCTGTATCTCTAGCTCCCTTCCTGCCTCTGTGAATTCAGAAAGAACCCAGAGAGCTCCAGGCTTTCCTGAAAAAAGAAAAGAAAAAAAAAACAAGAATATTCTCGAAATTACATGAACTTGGTAAAATTAATTCTGTAAAATTAAACTTTGAAATGTGCTGCCCTTTACTAAAACAGAAAACAAAATTCAAGAGAAATCTTGAAATCTAATATTTCATTTATTTCAGGGGCAATGCTCTTACCATAGATGTTCTGAGTAGTTTTTCTAATTAACCAGCACTTCCCTCCCCCCCATTCAATATTTTATTGATGTGTTTCAAGCCACATTAGCAACTCAATATTCACTGTAAGAATATCATATAGCAATTTAATTGCTATATGAATGTCATTAATAAGCCGAAATTAACATCACTTACACATAATGAAAAGCTCTCCTCAAAAGAGGAATAAGAATGTCAACCATCAATAGGACAAAACTGTCTTCAAACATCGAGATAATGAGGTTCAGGTTAAGTCTGGGTTACACTGTGCACTGAAGTCACAACCTTTCTACGTCTGTGTTTCCAAAAGCATGAGGTTTTGGACAAGCAGGCTCAGGAAGCTCTCCAGCCGCTCCCTGGATCTGTAGGCGATGAGTCCTCCCTTGTTGGCCCAGCGATCAACCCCAACAGCACCTTCATTTTCCACGTGGTACAGCAACTGTGGCAACTCCGGCCCTGTTTCTGGATTTCTTTCCAGGCATTCTTTCATGTCCACGATTCCCCCACCCATGGCCCTCAGGATGGCGTGAGCTGCACAAGAGTCCCACTTGAATGTCGTGTCTTCTGAAAAGATGTAAATGTCAACAAGGCCTTGGACGACACAGAGGCTTTTGTAGCCGGCCCCCGCCGCCCGGAATATGCCATCTCCGCATACACGTGACAGTGCGGCTTTGATGGTCTCCTTCTCACTTGTACTAATGACTGCTGAGAAAGGCTGGATGGATTCTCCCTCCGAGCTGGCCTTGGCTGTCTGCGCTTCCGTGCCATTTCTTTTTGAGAGGGTGAGCTGAAGGGAATGGATGTTGGTCCCCAGGTAAGAAAGGCCCCAGTAGCATTGTCCTTTCCAGCTGCAAAAAATATTTCCACCAGTGAATTGATTGTCACATTTGCTTTTTATTTATGCAGCTGCTTTCAAGCTTAATAAAGCACACACACACACACACACACACACACACACAATTCATCATAACCATAATGAATTGTAATGTCTCTATTCCTAGAAGTAGTTAACAAGTAGATAACTTTCCATTTTGACACACAGATGAATTTTAATTTTGAAGAGTTCCTATATGCAAACAGCTGTGCTGTTGCAGAGAGAAATTCCTCCAGTGTTACTGTGATTATCTTGTCAATAGAGGGCAACACTAAAATTTTTATGGGACTTCTGGCCTCCGGAAACATTGCAAAATAGATGCTTTTGGCATTTAAGTTTTATAAGGGGAAAAGATGAATAGGTAAATCAATCCTCAAATCTCTTAAAATACTTGCAGGATTAAGGATTGAACCCAAGTACTCAAGGGCTATATCCTAAGGGCCCTGGCCTTATTTGTTTATTTATTTAAAAAATTATTTTTGTCAAATTCTCCCTCATTTTGCACAGAATGGTCTCAAACTTGAGAGCGTGCCATCTCTACCTCCTGACTAACTGGTATTCCAGACTTGTGCCATCAGGCCTGGCTTCTCATACTTCTCAAAAGTTTGTCATCATTTGATCATCCTTCTTTTTTTCTTATTCACTAGATCCAATTTTGCTTCTAACACTAAACAAGATTGACTCATAATGTTATTACTTTCAACAGCACAATAATATCTTTCATTCTTCAATGTTGAACTTTTCCTCTATGTTGGGTAAATTGTTCTATGTACAGGAATGAGGAAAAAAGCTTAGAGAAAGTAAACACTTGATTGGGCACACCCAGCTCATAAGTGATAGAGGCTGCACTCACATTCTGGAAGTCTCACTCCAGAGACTAGGCCATGAGTATGTCCATGTACTATCTCAATGTTTTTAATTTATGAATGACTTTCTTTAAAAATTGAGACAGAGTCTGGCTATGTGCCCAGTCTAGTCTTGAACTCATGCACCTTTCTGCCTATGTCACACTAGTGCTGTGATTATAGGCAAGCACCACCATGCTTGGCTTAAATGATTCTTTAAAAATAATTAAAATACATTTTTTATTTGAAAATAAGTAGGGATAGAGGAGCAATATAATGAATTTATGACTAATAAGAAAAACTATTCTCACCTGAAGCAACCCAAAGTTCAATACAATATCTAGACCCATATAAATAGAGAACTATGACCTATTTTAATAAAAAAAAACAACTGAAGGTGCTGTTTTTACTCGGACTCTGCTTTTCCCTGGAGTCACCCCTCACCATGAGCCACGAATGTGACAGCTGAACTGTGGCCATCCTCCATGCAGGCAGGAAGGCAGAGGGCAGAATCGGAAGTGATACCGACAGTGCTTATAAGAAGAGGTCCTCAGGTTTCAATCCTAGCCCTACCTATCAATACCTATCAATCCTTTTATAGGATAAAACACATTTTGTTCTGAGTTTCTTTTAAAGTTGTACAAAAATTTAACACTACAGTGATTACAGCTATCTTTAAAATATATTTAGGGCCAGTATTAACACCATTCTATTCATTTGGGTTTAAGTGTACTCTGGAAACAGGGAACAAAATTTGCTATATCACATATTTATATATCCATGGTTTCTTCAAACATAGTTTCTTTTAAAATTTCTACCAACATGCAGTTGGCCCTAAATAAAAACTTGCCAAATCCAGGACAGAAAACAACTTCACCACAGCCTTTTTGTGGGAATAGCCCAATGATTCCAACAATGGTGACAATCCTGACAAAAGAAAAGCTGAGGCCACAAATCCTAAAAAGAAAAGGCCATCATATATCAGAAATGTTTGTATTTTACCTGTGAGTATTTAGGTCTTGTGACACAAAGGGTTGATTGATGACTCCCATCAACGGCACACCCGTTTGTAAGTTATAGGCACCAATTAAAATGGTAACACACTGAAGTCCACTGGGAAAAATTCCATGGTTGGACTTTATATCAGCAGCACCTTTAATATATTGATAAGTTGAATCTGAAAGGTGAAGTAGATGTGTTAGGTTTCATGGAAGAGGTATTCGCCGTCAGAAGATAATAGTGAACACATCCCCGGGTTTCTGCAGGTATATATTTCCAAGGAGACCACCATTAAGGAAAAACTCCAAGCGCTGAGTTCAGTAATGTACTGAGGATGCTTGATTCATTTTTCTCATAATGACAGTGAAGATATGCCAACTTTCAACAATCTAAAATCTTCACGTTATCACTTAAATTAACTATATTAACTTTGCCCTTGCTTTTAACCACTTGCTTTTCAGGGGGCAAAAAAACACACTTAGATTATACAATGAAACACAGCGGAGGACAATATGGGACTGAGAGCTTGTCTGCATCAACTGAGCTGCAAAATAGTGCACAGATATTAAAATTTTTTGTTTTTGAAATTTCTAAAAGTATTTTTTTAAAAAAATGTGCGTAGTCAAAACCACATGTAGTAAAGGTGGATGAACAAGGATAGTTTACTGTAGAAACTGTCCTATCTAACTTCTTTCTATGAATTTGGTAACCAATCAGAGTTTGCCTTGTATGTCCACTGTATTGAATTGGTATTTTATTGGCATTTTCAATCTTAAGTTGCTTATGTTTCATTTTCCTAAGAACTCTTTAGCTTTTGTGTAACCCTGGCTGACCTCAAACTCTTGATCTTACTATCTCAACTTCTAGAGTGCTGGTACTACAGATGTGTATCACTACACTCAACTTGTTTAAGAACTCCTAAAGGGAGATGATATGGCTATAATTATGTGGCACCTAGCATACTACCTCACATATAACACTTTTATAACATTGACATATTTACCACATATCAAGAGCATTTTGAAGCTAACAACTCAGTATAACCATTGGGATTATTTTAGAACTGTTACTCATCAGAAAACTAGTAAAATGTGAGATGGTGAAGCCTCCTTTGAGAAATCTGCTAGGTACAATTCTCTATTTCCATCATAATACTTTGGTTCCTCAAGTTACAAGAAAATGAAATTGGCATAAAAAGGAAGAAACTATTGGTGTTCCTGTTAAAGAGGCTAAAGACCTTTCCCATTAAGAAATAAAGATGCCAGCAGCTGACCGCCAACAACCAGTTAAGGATGCACCTCTTTGGCAAGAATCTAGAGATTGAAATAACAGAATCAATTCCAGATGGAATCTGGAAGCAAGAGCTTCCTGTCCCTCAGAAATCATAACAGAGACCAACTTATCTTGAAGTGATAAAAGAATTTGGGACAGATTCTTAAATATCCATATATAATCTATTAGTTGAGTGTTAGGAAATTCCCTTAAGGCTAAACCCATTTCCATAACATTGTGTTTATGTGCTTTTGCTTGGAAGGGAAGGGTAGAAGAGTTTGCAGGCTCAGTACAATGAGTGGCTCAGCTGTTAGGTGAAATATGCCAGGGAAGTAGGAAAGAAAAAAAAGAAGTACATATTTCTTTGAATGAATACCAATATTGTTATATTAACAGCATCATTGAGGACAACGTCTACCTTTTTAAGCAATGAGCTATTGTTTATGGCTCTGTCACAATAAGAAAAAATATTAGTAAGTTTTACATAGCCTCACAAACTGCTCATGAGACACATTCAGCCGCATTTTGCATTTTTGCATTTTGTTTTTGGACATTGGCTGTTTGGTCAAGTTACTAGCCTGTAGTTAAAAACCGAGAGCTCTCATTTAAAAACCTGGATTTTATCATCTTTAAAACAAAACCCTGAAGATATTGTCTGTGACTATATGGCAGTAAACAATCAGTTGGAGCTGACTGCTCTGTAAGTGGCATATCAATTGGTCCTTAATGCTATCACTTCATATTCTTATTTATTTGTCCCTGAAATCTTCTATAGATGAGTTGTTTATTTATGTGGATGCTTATACACACATAGCTGTAACATGTATGTGTATGTACACATGTCTATAAAGATACATCTTACATCTCAACCCTTCATTTATCTTTGTTTTTATGGTACTAGGATTGAAATTGGGGCTACAAATTGCAGGACAACTGTTTATCCCTTTAGCTCTGTCCATGGTCCTTTGCTTTTAATTTTTCAGGGTCTCATGCTTTTGCCTTAGCTGGTCTCTAACAGCCATTTTCCTACCTATATTTCTATAGTCCATAATTTTTAATTTTTAAGGCTCCCCTACAAAAGATTGTGAACATGAACACATAAGCAAAAAGCAAACAGAGCCAACTTATTACCGTGTACTTACCTATGGGATCCACCCAAATTCCCAAAATGTCCTGTGGAATGTTGATGTCTATGGAATCTAGTATTGGATCTTTAAAGGCAACATCCTGATGAACAACCTTGGCTAGTGCTTCAGATGCCAACTTGTTGCCATTAAGGACTTTGCAAAGAAGTGTTGCTGTTTCTAATTCTGTTGAACAAAGTTCCACAGTAATTGTTTCCCCTAGAGTAAAGACAAAATAAAACCATTATATTTCAGGAATTGCAGTGGAAAAAGACCAGGAGGGAGGAGGAATCCATAAAAGGCATGTACTTATGTTAGTTGAAGGCAATATTTCCTTACCAGTGGTTTCTAAAGCTGGCTGACTGCCAGCATCACGGGGGAAGCTTCACAAGGCCACCGATGTTTGGTGGTCTCATGGAATCACAATAGAGAAGGCCAGTTCTAGGAATCAAATACCTGCTTCCCCCCACATCCACTCCAAAAAAAGGCTAGATGGACTTAACTTTGTATATAATTTAAGGGAACCCAGAGACCAATTACAAACATCCTAAATCTTGTATTCATTTTTGCTTTTTGATTTTCACTGTACATTGGTCATCCTGTCCATGTCTGAGTATGTTCTTGAAAACAGGGCTTTTTATCAACACACTAAAGTGCTTCTACCTTCATCCAAGATACAACTTTTCACTAAAAATTATGCATGTTCAGTAATATTTTTTAAATGTAAGAAAACTGTGTGACTCAACATGATACACATAGAAACAGCCTTCTTCTGGAAGCAGGATGTGAGCAAAGCTGCTTCTCCAAATGAAAACAGTTACCAAGTCCAGGTGTTTTGCCATCACTTTAAACATGTGTCTCAGAATGCTCAGTTCATTTGGCTCTCAACCTCCAATAGATGGCAGAGAAGAGGCTGGTAAATATAGACAAATCGACATTAACAAGAAGTGACAGCAATGGACGGTTAGGTACTCTAAAAACTAAGAAACCATGGTAATTTGGGGCCTTTTAGATACTTAGACCTATGTTCCCAGCCTGTCAGTTCCAGGGACTGGCAGCATATGCAGTTGGGAGTTTGTTAGAAATTTAGAACCTCAGGCTTGGCCCCACTCTGACCAACTGACTTATAACAAGATCCTTAGATGATGGTTTGATCAGTAAAGTTTATGAAGCACAGTATGAAGCCATTACTATAATCACACTAGATTTTTTCTGTTTATGGCGTGTGCATGGGGTGTCAAATTCAGGGCTTCACATATGCTAGGTAAGCACTCTGTCACAGAGTTACATCCCCAGATACAGGGATACTATGAACCAGTAAGAAATAGTCACTTCAATTTGTGTAAGCTGAATTCAAACAAAAGTAAAATGTTAAAGTTGGGGAAGCATAATGTTAATAACTGCACATATAGAGTACTGCTTTGGGCTTACTTAAAGTCATGGGATTGTACAAAGAATTCATCATACATTATCACTCCTTTGCTTAAAATTGGCTAGTGAGTTCCTATCTCCAAACTCCTGCTCATGACTTTGTTCAGTCTGCCCTTACATAATCAAACATGGTCTCTTCCATTTGCCTTTTCTTTTCTCTACACTTTCAATAACAGGAAAATGGATGTGGGATGCCTTTTTGCCCATATATTTCCAGATAATGAAGTATTAAAATATCCATTGGTGAAGCAGTCAAACAGAGGGTTTTAAATGAGAATTTCTTGTGAGTTAATCACAGGAGTTATTTTTAACCTTGTGAAGTTTAAATCAGATTCTCTTCTTCACAAGTGTCATAGAACGAAGTCCATCTTAATATGTAGCCTGTGAAAGAGACTTAAAAGCTCAGAGATAAGCCGGGCACCGGTGGCTCACGCCTGTAATCCTAGCTACTCAGGAGGCTGAGATCTGAGGATCACGGTTCAAAGCCAGCCCAAGCAAGAAAGTCCGTGAAATTCTTATCTCCAATAAACCACGAGAAAACTGGAAATGGCATTGTAGCTCAAGTGGTAGAGCACTAGCCTTGAGCTGAAGAGCTGAGGGACAGCACTCAGGCTCAGAGTTCAAGCCCATGACTGACAAAAAAAAAAAAAAAAACCAAAAACACCTCAGAGCTAATCTAGAAATTAGTTATTCTTGTAAATGTGATCTTTGTCACATGATTGGTGCTTAAGGCCCACTGTTATAAGTTTTATACCACTATATATAAATATCCCCCTCCCCAATTAATATAAATTATTTGTCTGGAAGAAAGACAAACAGAAATTGTGATATGTTCCCCTAAAATATCAGAGAATATGGATATCAACAGGAAACCAACTTAAGCAGACTAGAAACCTGATATAAGGTCATAATGATGTGCATACCTGTATCTCAGTTATTCTGGGGGATGGGGTGGGAGGATAACAAGCCTAAGACTTAAAAAGCAGCCTGAGTAACACACTGATACTCCATATCACACAGAAACCTTGGTACTGAAAGGAAGTTTTCAGTTGGTTCAAGTATAGGTTCTGAGATCCACAGAAGTAATGAGGTGATTGGCTCTAGATGACACAGTATTTTCAACACCACAACTCCTCCACATTTATAGCCACGTCCATAGGGACTACAAGGCACCCACAAATTGGCATAAATCTAGGGCCTAAAATTGCCTGGAAAATTGTGTAGATGCACACAGATTCATCTTAGAAAGACATACAATAACTTCCATTACATTCCCAAAAGATCATGACATTTTCCCAAATGTTATCTTATAAATGGTTGTACAGGTTTGTATTTAAAATGGTATGTGGACTGGCTAAGAGCCATCTCTTCAACTTAAATGCTAACAACTCTTCTGAGGTAAAGCACAAATGAAGCTTAAAACTCCAATATATTACGTTATTTGCACTGAAAGCCTTCCAAACATCCATTTATTTCATGGTGTAAGTTGGAGATTAGAATATCATTGATAATTAGGTTACAAAGACACATTAAACTTCTCATACTTACCCAAATCATTAGTAAACTCATTGGATTCTTCTCCAAAAATCCTTTTCCCCAAGCCTGGAAACTGAATGATTCAGAATATGATTTTAAAAAACCAAAACTATAACAACTATCCCACAACGTTAAATTTGAACAGATTTGTATTTTACATTTCCAATTAAGTAATACAATTAGAGTTGAAACTCAGAAAATTATAATTCTAGAAAGCAAGTCAATACAAAAAATTATCTTGATTTAGTGCTTAATCTTCAAGTAGTTCCCAACTTCTAATCCCCTCGATAAAGTCCAAATCATGGTAAAGCTCTGATTTCTTTATGTCCTGTCAACCTTCTAAACAGGGCCATAGAACTAGAATATTTGCAAAGGAGATAGTTTTACCATTGCTCTTTAAAAATCACTCTAGTAAGTTAAGTAAATATTATTGATCAAAACCCACTTATACTTGAGACTGGGTAGAAGAGAATAAGAGGATAACATTACATTTTGTCTTAATTTTCAGATAGGTTTCCACACATACCATTAGCTTTGAAGTTAGAAAGGTGAGATGGAAGAAATAATTAATTCATCAATGTGACTGAATAAATGGAGTTGAGTAAGAATCTTCTCTCTCGTCTCTATATAAGGAATTTCTCAGATTCATTATGCTTCTGGTCCTCAGTAGTAATTATATTTTTCTCAAGTGTTGATTTTTTCCCCCCAGTCCTGGGGCTTGAACTCTGGGCCTGGGTGCTGACCCTGGGCTTCTTTTGTTCAAGTCTAGCATTCTACCACTTTGAGCCACAACACCACTTCTGGCTTTTTCTGCCATTAACTAGAGATACGAGTCTCATGGAGTTTCCTACCTAGTCTGGCTTCAAACTGCAATCCTCAGATCTCAGTCTCCTGAATTACAGGCTGAGCCACAGGTATCCAGCTTGAATTATTTTCTAAATAGTGTATTAGTTAATCTTAAACAAACAACAAAAGCCGAAACAGGCAACCATCATCTTAGAAGGAGGCACAGGTTTTAGTTTTTAATTACTGTATGTGTGATGCTCTCAGAGAATAAAAGCCAGAAATCATGAAATACTTTAGCTCAGTTATCTGGAGATGGTCAAAAGCCTTAATAGTGGCTTTATATATAACTATTTTTTCCCTCTGCCTTTTGTAAAAGAGAACAAACCAACAGAAGCTGGCAATCAGCCCACTCCTTGAAGGTTAAAACTCAGTTTCAAAGCCTGCTTAAAGACTTGTTTTGAACACCATAGCATAGAAGGTCATTAGACAGCTCAAGTAGATAATGTTTAGTTGGTCATCAATTAAAGCATTCACTTTCATGAATGACCACTTACCTAAACTTGTTATAATGTTTTGAGACAAATACTAATGCATAAAAATTAATGTCAATATATATCTAATCCAGTTGCTCAACTATCCTTTTACTCAGTATCTCAACAAAAAATAGGAACAGTTGCCTTAGTAGTTTATTGGCACTACATATTATAGCACATGAAAATAAATAGAATGCAAACATTTCCTGAGCCATTTTATTCTCCTCTCCCTTTAGTCAAGATTTCACTTAAATTCTACAAAGTGGCTCCTGAAAGCTTAAGAACTCCGTAGAAAATTTCAGTATTTTGTAATGCTTTTGCCATAAACTTCTAGCCTCCCATCTTTAAAAAATAGGACATTTTATCACATAAAAGACAATATAATACTGAGAAGCAATTAGACTTGAGAAGTTTGCCTGGATCAGAAACTTGTCCTGATATTTGTTTGTTGTGTAATCTTAGGCAAGTTATTTAAGCTCTCTGGGCCTTCACTTTACCATCTATTACATATGGAACAATAATTCTTACCTTATGACTACTGTTAACCCTTATAACAATTCCTTACCTTATAAAACTGTTATAAGGGTTAAATAATATGATTAAAGTCTTACAATAGTGTATACTACATGGTAAACATTTATTATTACCACTACTGCTACATCTACTTTTGAATACTATTTTCTCCAGTTAGCTCAACATTCTTAGAATTAATTTTGATGATGTTTCACTAGTAGAATATCTACTTACAAGCTAATAATCAAGGCAAACATTAGACAAAGGATTAAATTCAAATGCTGAGACTTAAGCCCTGATGGTGCATGCCTGTAATCTTAGCTACTCAGGAGGCTGAGAGCTGAGGATCATGGTTCATAGCCAGCCCAGGCAGCAAAGTCTGTGAGACTTTTATTTCCAATTAACTACCAGAAAACCAAAAGTGGCACCGTGGCTCAAAGTGGCTGAGCACTACTCTTGAGGGAAAAAAAGCTCTGGGATAGCACCCAGGCCCTGAGTTCAAGCCCCATGACTGACAGGAAAAAAAAATCTATTATCTGAGCTGGGTGCAATGGCTCAAGTCTGTAATCTCAGGAAGCTGCGATCTGAGGATTGTGGTTCAAAGCCAGCCTGAGCAGAAAGTCCCCAGGAGATCAGGAACAGCACTCAGGTCCTGAATTCAAGCCCCAGGACTGGAAAAAGATGAGACTTAGATACTCTATTAAAGTTTTTAAAAAGGTCACAAAACAGTGTGCCCTTGTTTCTGTGGAAATAAATTATATGACTCTCTCTCTCTCTCTCTGTGACACATACACACACAGAAAGACGTTATCAGAACACTGAATGAAACATAACTGTGGTTTTATCTAGTAGTAGCATCAGGAGAATCTTTCATTTCACCAGTGTTCTAGAAAATGTACTGCTTCCTAAGAGGAAACTCCAACAAATGAAAGGTTCTATAAAGAATGCTTATCTGTAGGTGTGCAAATTATGTGTGATTCCTACTTTGTTTTTTATAATTCTCTGCAATGAACAATTGTAATTACAATTACAATCAAAATAAGGAAGAGGAGGTATTTACCTGACTCCCAGGGCTCGTCCTATTCAGAAGGAGAGTAAAAGCATGCTATGCTATGAGAGAAAGAACTACAGTGGTAAATGTTTTAGTTACCTTGACTGTGACCTTCTTACCTTGTTCTCCATATTCTGTTTTATAACTTCCTGAACCAGTACATCAGCCAGAGTCTTAAAGTCAACTGTGAACTTCTTGTTCTTTTCTCCATCTTTCTTTTCCTCAATAAGTAGCTGGAAGAGAGCTTCCTGCTGCCTGCATGCCCGGGCAATGTTGGCAGCTTTCTCAGACACACACAGCAGCTCTCGGAGGATCTCCGACATCTCTGAACCTTGCTTGCTACTCAGTGGCAGCTGCTGGAAGTGGCGCCCACTCTCCTTGGGCTGTCAGCTGGAAAAGTACAAGAATGTGAAACAGAAAGCAGTTCAGAGCGTGATGTCAGGGCGACTCTCAAGCCACAGCAGCTCATCTGGGCATAACCTGGTCAGCTTGGCTGCACCTGCTCTATGGTTGCTATAGTCACAGCCTCAGAATGGCAGAATGTAAGTAGAATCTGAATTTTGAAACTTATTTTTAAACATCTTAAAAAACAATAATGGTGGGCTGGGAGGTTGGCTCAGTGGGAGAGTGCTTGCCTCGCATGCATGAGGCCCTGGATTTGATTCCTTAGCACCACATAAGCAGAAAAAAAGCCGGAAGTGGCGCTGTGGCTTAAGTGGTAGAGCCCTAGCCTTGAGCTGGAGAGCTGAGGGACAGAAAGACAAATCTTTGAATGAGAGTCTAGATTTACAGATTCCTAGACAGATGGACAAAGCCAGATTCTTACAATGACTCTAGACTGAAAGTGTTGGCTTTGTAGCCTCTCTTTTACCAGGGGCAGAGGGAGAAGTACCAGAGCAACTCCGCAAATACTAAGATAGGGCAGCAAGCACTCTTAGTCTCGCCAGGCATGGAGGCCATTCCTGGGCTAGAGCACATGCCAGCTCCCAGCCAACTTCCCCTTTTGCCACTAAAACACTTCTATCTGTGAGATCTTTTTGAAAGTTCAAATAAAATGAAGCAACATGTTGGGAATTGGAAAGTTTTGGCTTCTAGGAATGTCACACAAATGGTGGTGGTGGTGATGATGATGATGATGGAATTTGAATTTTTAAAAGGGGGATTATCTGGGGGAAATCAGCAGAAGAGAGAAAGGACAGGATTCTGAGGGGTAAAGAGGATTAAAGTGCACTATATCTATCTATCTAGATATAATAAAGCCCACCAAACACTGAAACAAGGGGGAAGGAGGATGAGAAAAGGGAATATACAGGTGGGGTGACCTTTTGCAAATACACTGTATGCTGGTATAGAATTATCACGATGAAATCTTCTCATATCACTAAAATGTATGCAAATTCAAAAAGAAGATTATTTTAAAGAGTGTCATCTATCATTCATACCTTGATCTATCTATCAGGCCTATCTTGCAAATAGGACAGAAATACTTCTCACTCTGGGATAGCAAATAAAACTTGAAAACTTGATTAATTCTTTTCTCATGATAAGAATTACTGTGAGGATTATCTGTCCTGTTTTACAGTTAAGGAAACTGCAGCTCAGGGAGGTGAAGTAACTCCATCAGGGTTGCACAAGATTAACTGGCAGGGCTCAGGATCAGTCATACACAGTTATTTGGGCTCTTTATAATCACACTAGTTTCTTTCAAAAAAGAAGTTTCCTGAACGGGCTGTAGAAGTACAAGTACGAAGATAATGACACAGTAAGAGAGCGAAGTTAAGACATTTCCGCACAAGGTGGATTAAAATTATAGTAGCAAAATTAATTTTAAACATTAGTAAAGAAACTATGCAAAGGCTCAGTAGCTATGTGCATGTGATCATATAAAAATATTTAATGAAATGAACAAGAAATGGAAACAAGAAAAGGAAGACCATTATGTAGTCAGTAAATTTGTGGTTTGGGGAGAATATTTAATGATAAGAAAAATATGTGAATGTTATAATATTAAGTAAGAAACTGAGCTATGGCTACGTATAGTATAGCAGCATGTAATCAATTTATGTTTATTCAGAGAAGAGAGACAGAAAGAGAAAGACATAGGGAGAAAGATAGAGAAGACAGTGTGTTTCAATAGTAGTTATCACTAAGTAATGGAATTGTGGATAGCATAATTGGACTTAAAAATAATTTTCAAATATTCAACAGTCAATATATAGTACTTTTATAGTAAGAAATGCCATTTAAAATCATCTTAGAACAATTATGTATGAAGCTACAGGAATTTCTTAACTCTTCAAGGCAAGTGTCCAAACAAAATACAACTATGGCAAAAACCTTCAGGTAGTAGAGATGTTGCAGATAAGATTTAAACAAAATACCTGCCTGTGTCAATGTCTTATCTTTCAAGAATAAATTATCTTGACTCACTTTGGTTTGATTTGAACCTATATTAAAAAACATAATTGTATCAATAAAAGCTATGACTCTTGGACCTACGAGTTGTAATTTATAGCACATGTAACATATACTTGCTACAATTATGTATCAATCACACAAAAATTCATACATACTCCATGACACATGTGCCTCAAGACTACAAATTCAATAACCATCATTTTGATTTCTTAGTAAATGTTCTGTAATTATTTAAATGAAGAGGGGAATAAACAAACCAATAACACCTAGACACTGTTAAAGATGTTAAGGAACTCACTTTGATTATGATCAAGAAAAATATCAAACTAGACAATATCAATATTGTCTAGTTGACTGAACTTCATTAAAATCTATTATTTTCTGAAAAGAAGTTTTGTACCAACCACACTGATGAATAAATAACTCCTGGCTTCTGCACCAAGCAGCTATCAGGAATCAGGAGTGGGGTTTCTCTGTTTTTTTGTTTTGTTTTTGTTTTCCTCAAGACTTATGGCACTGGTTACAGCTAAGATTCTGGTAGACTTTTCTGTTCCAGCTGTCGTTGAACTTCAATCCTCAGATCTCGGCTTCCTTAGTAGCTAGATTACAGGTACAAGCTTGGTGCCCAGCTGAATTTCTCTTCTTTGGACCCAGGCCTTTTATTTTCTCATAGAGGACCATTCTCTTTCCTCCCCCGCTCCCACTCCATCCTCCCCTCCGCCCAGCAGTTGTTGCTTAGCAAGCATAGCAACGTGACCAATGAGCCATAGAGAACACATATAGTTGACAGGTATACAAATTTTAGAATTCATAATACAATAAGTTTTCAGTTCCAAAGTTCAAACTTAGTCATTCTTCGCTCTGGCCTTAGGAATCATTGTCTGTTTTGCCAATCTCCATGCAGAACTGCCCAGTTGAGATTACACTTTCTCCAGCACTCCTAACCAACCAGCATGGTTTTTTTTTGGGGGGGGGGATCATAGGTCTTGAACTCTGGGCCTGGGCGCTGTCCCTCAGCTCTTCAGCTCAAGGCTAGCACCCTATCACTTGAGCCACAGCTACCACTTCCGGCTTTTTCTGCTTATGTGGTACTGAGGAATCAAACCCAGGGCCTCATTCACTGAGCCAACTTCCCAGCCCCCAACCAGCACTTATACAGCTATTTCCTTTCCTCCAGATCTCTAGCTTTCTAAACAAACAAACAAACAAACAAACAATAACCCTCCACGGCCTTGTTGCTGGCACAGTATTGTATGCTTGTTCTTCCAGCTACTGCAAAGGCTGAGACAGAATTGCTTGAGCCCAGGAGTTCCAGGAAAAGCAACTTCCTAATTACTTTGCATAGCTGACCTACCATTTTCTGGGTGAACAAGCCACACCACTAATAAGCTGTTTTATCTCTCTCCATCCATCCCCAACTCAGCTCTTTCAGGTAAGAAGGGAGCTCTGAAACAGTCACTCTTACCTGGAATAGTTGAGATAAATCATCTGTGGAGAAATTGGGGACCATTATCTAATACAAGATTTCTCCAATTTTACATGGAAATTACTTTTCAGATGATTTTTAAAGTCAATTCACTCCTATTATTCACATTCATTGTTACTATGGCCCTCATTTCAGGTTAGCTGACACCTAATGGCAGATAACTTGGTGGAACCTTATTGATATGGTTCTGCAACCATTTACTAATGCGCAAAGAAAGGCCAAAGTTACTTTGAAACACAAATCATGCTATGGTTAGAAAGTTATAACATTTACCATAATTTATATCCCTTGCTACAGTTTTTCCTTCCCTTATTTCCTTCCTTCCTTCCTTCCTTCCCTTCTTTCCTTTCTTTCCTTCCTTTCTTTCCTTTCCTTCTTTCCTTCCTTCCTTTCTTTTGTTCTTTCTTTCCTTCCTTCCTTTCTTTCTCTTCCTTCCTTCCTCTTTCTTTCCTTCTTTCTTTCCTTCTTTCTCTTTCTTTCCTTCTTTCTTTCTTTCTTCCTTCCTGCCTGCCAGGATTTGAACTCAGAGCCTTGTACCTGCTAGGTATTTGATTAGTATTATTAAAGAGTATCCTGAGAACCAGCTGTAACAGAACTACGTGAGGTGCCTACTAACTTGACAGATTCCCAGGCTGTACTCCTGTTTATGGAATCAGAGTCTCTGAGAACACAGCCTAGGAATCGGTATTTTTTTTCAGCATTCTGGATGACTCTAAGCACTCAGATTTGATACCTATTTTTCTCCAGGATATTTATTCTATACATATACTAACAATTCAGGGGTGACTAGCACCTTGTGGCAGGTATCTTAGTGGAACCAATGGATCTGTTATTATTCATGAGAAGAGACACAGTTCAGTTAACAGCAGCGAACTTTTACTAGGTGCTTACTACATGTCAGATATCTACTAAGCATTCTGTGTAACTTAGCTCATACACCACTAGGAAGTAGGTACAACTATTTTCACTTTACAGGTGAAGAATCTTAGGTAAAAGAAAATTAAGCAATTTGTCCACATGTCTGGGAGGTAACAGGAGAAGATACTAACTCAACTAAGCAGCAGAAACACAGGTTGTTGATTAGTACTCTAGCCAAGGAAAAGACATATATCTATATCTCACTGTGTATATCTACATATATGTGAATATATATGCATATATATATGAGAGGATGTCAACTGTTAAAGTATAGGAAAATAGTTATTGGATAATAATCACAAGCATATCGTCATTTGGATTATACTGTATAGCAAAAAGTAAACACATTTAGTTGGTACCTGTCACCAGTTGAAGTCACTAGCTAATCCTGACACTTGATTTCTCTTTTGCCCTCAGAAAAACTTTTTCCTCAGCTGATTCTCAGATTTACTGCCTAGTGCCCTGCTGGATAGTAAATTTTTGCCCATTATGTCCACTAATAGATCTTTCTCTCTGATACTCTATCTTTTCTGTCCTCCTCCTCCCCTTTTTTGGTCTCTCATCTCTC